ACCACAGAGTGGACCAAGCCAACCCTCCACCCCCGCAGGGACAGACCTGTGAAAAAGAAGGTTTCCCCACGGATGTGGGCGACGGCATCGATGCTGGTGGAGCAGCGATCCGGGACCCCCTTCTCCGACCTGCCAGAGCAGCGGGGAGCACGTCAGCAGCAAACGGGCAGCTCCCGCGTGAGCATCAGCAACGGGCGTAACTCTGGAGAGTCCTGTGTAGTACGGGAATGCCCAGCCCCTTGGGGAACCCAGCTGAGCGCTGGCATCCTGTGGCGGTGAGTTCCACAGGCTCCTCAGGCATTGCAGGGACCTGTTCTCTCCCGTGGCCATGCCGAGTCCCCTTTTCGATTCCACGCGGCGCCCCCTTGCTCTCGCGCTACAAGAACAGCTGCTCCCGCCCTTGCTCCTCCAAGCCAGCCAGGGCTTTAGGGACGTTTATCCTGCTCCCTCATTCCTCCCTCCCTCCCCCCTCGTTTCAGGCTCTCTCCACAGAACCTCCCCAGCCCTTCACAGAGCCCCTGGGAGACGGCGCCCTGGGCCCTTTCCCGAGCAGTTGGCACAGGACACTGTCAAGTGTCTGGGCATTTGCACACTCCAGTCCCTGCCCTTTGCAGACTTGGCACGCTTGCCCGTTCCCCCAGGCCAGGCCGAGAGCCAGCACCGAGCCCAACCGGGACAGCGGGAGCAGGTAGCTGACCCCAGGGACCCCAGCGGGGCCAGGCCCAGGCAGGGTGGGGAGGAAGAAGGGACGTCCCGGCTCACCGCAAGGCAGGGAAGTCGCGGGGCAGGGATGGCGGGGGCCGGGGCAGCGACGACTCCTCCGGCTTCTCCGTGGAGTGCAGGACGCGGCTCCCTGAACGCAGGGGAGAGCACCCGGCCGTCAGCCCCCCAGTCCAGCCACCACGTCCCACCGCGAGCCGGCTCAGTGCCCCACACGAGGCACGGGCCACGCACCGCTCGCACCCCGCACGGCACTGCTTACTCCGCACCAGGCCCGGTCCCAGCGCGCCCCCAGAACGAGCTGTGAGCTCAGCTCTGCCCCAGACCTGCTGAGCACTGACGCACTCGGTGCAGGGGACACAGACCTGCCAAAGCAGCCACCCCGCCAGG